TCAAGTTATGTTGTGACAACGGGAAACGGGTTTCATTTTTGTATATATAGATTTTATTATTATGCTGTTTGAGAACAATCGCAGATTTATATACATATAGTGGCACATACAATCTAAATCGAATGAAACCTATTCTATGTAGTTAATAATCACTCAACCAGAAAGGCAACAAGACACCAGTCTTCTTTCACCTTATTGGTATTTTGTTTACTATAATTTTATGAATTGACCTATTTTCAGATATTTGCTACATGATAACACAGTAGGAAGTTTAACAAGCAGTGTCATACATAACTATCAAAAAGATTTAATCAATAATAAAACGATTTTGATGTAGATCGACTATCTAGCTAGATAAAACCATAAATGTGCCGAATTGTAAGTACATGTATACTACAGTCGTAATGTAGGTCATGACTAATTATTATTAACTAGCTGACCCGGCAGATATCGTACTACCTCCATACGTTCTTATTCTCCATTTAAACCTTCTCTTGACTTCCGTGAAAATTTCAAGACCAAAATTAGCCAAATCGATTCAGCCAATTTCGAGTTATAGCGAGACAAACAAACGGAAATTCATTTTATTTATATAGATGTATTTTTTTTAAACTGTCAAACACCAAGCGGTCACCGGTGACCGCAACCTATTATTCTATAATTGTGTCTATAATGACGGTACTTGACGAAAATCATCGAATGTCTGCTCCCGCCTGGGTGAGGCGGGAGGGAGTGTCAGACTCTTACTGACTAAAAACCACCCCGTTCCTTCTCCTACACGTCGAGCCGGAGCCCCGGTAACCCGTTAGGTTCTCCGCGACAATATATAGATATATTAAGGTATATTACACACACACACACACACACAACAATGAAAATAGTTAATCTTTGAAAGTATTTACTTACTTTTAAGTTCCCTACTGCATTTGACCTCCAAGGTTCCATTGAAGGCCATCTTGTAGTCTCCCCGTTGGTCCTTGGCGAAGACTCTCTGGAATGTCTGCTTGAACAGCGAGGAATTGAACGAGTCTCCCATCACCATGTGCCCACTGAAATAAAAAGTACGGGAGATATTGTTAAAGCAGTGAAAGGTTTGTAGATATATTTTTAACGATTTGTTGGATGAAAATGCTATATGATTATTTATCCAGTTCACGAATTCTAGGCCATAACGTAGGCTATTTTGTTATTACTTGTTTACTTAAAACTTTACTTGTTATAAATGATCAAGTTCAGTGGAGTGCTATTGGAGATTTCTTCGTCCGACAGTTATCAGGGAGCAGAACTCACATAAATTATTGTTAGTTTATAGCATTTTTTATTCAAAATGGTGTTGCCGAGTCGGCCAACACATAGTATACTGGCATGGTAAAATATTGTAGAAACTATAAATAAGACTTTTGCTATTAATTGAAGCATCAGTTCACGTTTGAAAACATGGCATATCAGCTGTTTAGCATAATGCTTATCAAGCTCATAGTTACGTGATTAATACGATATTACTAATTCCAATATTAACAACAGTGACGATAACGAGGTAGGCTGTACAATATTATACAACTTTTAATTTAAAGAACTTGAAGAAATAATATTTAGAGTGAAAAATATTGAGACAAAAGTATTTAGAGACCAGTCAAATCCTATGCTTATTCATTTGTCTAAAACCAGGTAAAAAAAATATTTTATATTCTGTACGGTAAAAAGTACTCACCCAGTAGAATTGCAACACTGTTTCATCTCCATGAGTCCAGTCTGATCCAACGCACAGGAGTAAATATCAATCGAATGGCCGTTTGTCGCCGCCCTTAGAGACAGAGCTTCATAATGTTTAATAGCCTTCTTCATGTACTTAGCGTTGTCCTTATGAATGTCGTGATGGGAACGAATGGGCTGCTTCAGCTCATCATTGACCACCTGACCTGGGCCTTGAGAGCATGGTCCTCCGAGGAACAGCATAATTCTACCACCAGTGTTAGGGTAAGTGACTTCAAGAAGACCAACTGCCAAAGAGAGAGCAACTCCGCTGCTACGTAGCGGTCTCTTTCCTACACCTAAAGGCCATGGGTCCCTTCCAAGTTCGCCAAGCAGATCAGTTAATGCCATATCACATGTTTTGACAGGTTGCAGGAAGCGGTGTGCCGGTGGCTGCGGTGCGGGGGCGCCAGGTCGTTGCTGTGGGTTGGGAGCGTTCACACGACCGATCGCCAACTGCTCTTGAATTTGTTTCGCTGTCAGGTCTTTGGTGCCTTTGAAGACGTAGCATTTTGATATGCCTTCTGTGCCTGAAATAAATAAGGGGTAACATTGAACATAACATATTTATAATGAGAAACCATCGGATTTCTAATCAATTTTTAAACTAAAAACAAATGAATTTTTTTTTTTACTAAAAACAATTGAAAGTGTTTAGATAATGTTTAGTAGAAATGAATGTTACAACTGTAAAGATAACAAACAGGAAATGCGTCTACAATGAAGTTCATTTTTGCTTAAGTAAAAGTTGTTCAGAAGAAATTAAACATATCAAAACATTCAATAAGTTAATTAATAAAAAGACCTAAGCACTTGGTTTAGTGGCCACATTTCCCACCATTACGCCAATGAGAAATATATCTCAAAATAAATAAAACATATTACTAAGTAACAAAAATCATCTGAATAAATAGACATCTTGTGCATATAATACTAACTTACCTAGCTCATGAATCTGCACCATACGTCCAAACGTGATCAAACCAACAAGAGCATTCTGTGGCATCAAACTGAGAGAAGTCTGGAGAGAGTCCTTCAGCGCTCCGAGTTCCTCCTCATCCAAACAAGTATCAACCACCAGCAGATAGATAGGAGGCATCGTCTGGGCCCGAGTTATAGTGTACTCTATGGTGGAGAAGTTGGGAATCAACTCCGCAGGCTGGTGTTGCTCCGATATCGCCGAATATTGCGGGGGGAACTGAAATATTAAGTTACTTATTAATTATTTTTGTATCTGGCGGCTTACATCGGATGGTAAGAGGGCATTGTAGCATAAACAGCAACAATGAAATAGAATTTATAAGACGATTGTAGTGATGTCTAGATGCATACTGTAATGGTCTCAACACATTCAGTCCTTAATATAATTAGTCAGCTGGCAGGATGTTTTTATTGCATATTGTATAGCAGTTGCCTGAGAAATTGTGTAAGACACAACTCTAAAAACAATTGCTCTCTCTGTCTTTTACATGTTACTCTGGCCCATTGTCTACTTTATTTACACAAACAAAATATATTATATTGGTTATACAGCCATGATGTCTTGTGGTCGGTCTCAGTACCTCATCTGTCTAAAGATTGGCTTACTAGAGTTAGAATTTTGACATAAGTTCCATACAAAATGTATTAAAATTCAATCTCTAGTGAACAAATCTAGAGATGAGACTGGACAATAATGAAATTGGGATTGAAGATGTAACAGAGATCATATTTAGACTCATTCAACAGCCTACATCATGTATCCCTTAATTCCAATAATCCTCCCATTCCTCAGGCTGGTAAAGCACTTGTAACGCCTCTGGTGTTCCATGTTGTGTCCATTGGTAACATTGATTGCTTACCATCAGTTGTTCCGTCTCCTTGTTTACTGGCTTATTCCATATAAAAAATATATATGGTAAAGTAGTATGGGAAGGTAGAAAATGAAGAGTGAATCATCTCTTCTTACAAATAAATAAATTAAGCAACCTTCAACTTAAATTGTAGTATTACTTAACTACTATTACATTATTCATGCCCAGTCATGGTAAGGTAAAACCAAGGAAATTGAATTTCAACATTCTAATTTATTGGCTTTCAACAGATTGTATTGGATGTATCCAAATTTAATAATATACGTAATGTTTAGAATTTATTCTAATATCATTCTTATTAGAATGCCATAAGAGTTTATATATTTTTGTTTTGTATGCATTTGTAACACTAAATATCATCATATCATCAACATTAAGGAAATAATACTGATGTTTCCTCTCCATAAAATAAACATAAAAATAAATAAACAATCCAGTCCAGTAACAGATTTTTAGAATTTGCTAAATTCTACTCCCATCTTTTTATAGCATTATGGTAATACATTAACCTTTTATTGCATTAGAGATTACATACATATGGCAGGTAGTATTGCCAACTAAGTATTAAATAAACAAGAAGGTTTAATATGCATAAGAATTAAATACTATATTACTTACAGGGTTTCTCTGGAAACAGAAGTTGCAGGACCATAATTTAGCTCTGTAGTCCACTTGGCACATAGGATTCAAGATCGCCCTACATGTATTTCGGGTACACAATACAGGTTCATACTGAATTGGTGGCAGATCGGGCCTTTCCTTCAGCGGCTGGTACAAACATGCCAGTGGTACAACCAGCCTAGTAGCCTCGATTCTACTCGAAGGCCACACATTCCACGTGAAACGTATTCCATCTCTATCTTCATTCTGCTGAATAAACTCTTCATACGTGGCCATATCGCCGATCTAAACGCGAAACATTGATAATTAACAGACTTATAAAATAGCGGATTACAACCACAAATATATCTGTCATTTCTATATTGTACGTACCAAGTCTGCTTGCAGCAACTCGAGTCCAGCCACATATGCAATAAGCCAACGTTTTATTTAGTATTCATTCAGAAATTGGTTGTTATTTGAATTTTATAACAATTTTCAGCAGACGGGAGAGGCTGGCTGATTTGGCAATTGTCAAAATCATAGAGAAATCAGCTGTCACAATGGCCACGTCATTTTGGAAAACGCAACACATAAATAAATGATTTTAATTTTTTTATTTTATTACTTATAGGTTTATACCATTATTTTTGTTACATTTTGCAGCATAAATAAAAAAAATATTTTTTGCCCCACAACAGACAGCATTTATAGGTTATGGTATTGTCTACGGTTTAGTCAGAGACAAAAGAGTATTTACCATAGACATGTTTAGCGTCTTTGTCTATGACTTAAAGTGACGCGTTCCTTTACGCACATACACGAACAAAAAAAATGTAAAAAATAAATTAAAATTCGTGTTAAATCGGAATTAAATAATTAGAAACATAAATAAACTTAAAAACAGTGTCCAGAGTGATAATATAACATAAAGTGTAAAATATTTTAGGAAATTATGAAATTTGTCTGTGGAATAAACAGTTTACTGACGTGCATTCTGTGTAGTAATGAAACGTTCTTGAATGAAATATTTTTTTATTTTTAGGACATAGTAAATTATATTTCAATTATGGACATTATTTGTAAAATAATTCGTATTTAATGGTATAAGAACAAACCTACTATTATAATTAGTGGATACAAAATTAATGATATGTCATTGCTTTGTTTGAAGAGCAGGAAGTTTACGCCAAAAAGTGCGACTGCGCACTGGCCAAATTAGTAGTGTGAAAGAAAATGGCGATCAGCGAAAGGCGTCCGGAGTTAACGTGATGAAAAACATTGTTAAAAGCTCAATTACATAGTGTTATAGTTATTAATTGTGTCAGATGTAGATTAATTAAGTGTTAATGAATAGTGATTGTGTATAAAAATGGCTGCGAATATGTACAGAGTCGGCGGTAAGTGGCAATAATTGGTTATTTTTGTTGTAGCTTCGCCGGTTCACCGCCAGCCGACTAGCGGTGCTTTGCTTTGATTGTCGTACCTTCATTAATTGCTCACGTTAATTAGTTCAGTTTGTTGTATTTCTTTCCTCGATTGAATTCAAATTAATGGAAAGGTTAGCATGTAAAACATCGCGGCAAAGGCTTGTTTGCGGGAAAGTTATATTTATTTTACCAAAATTCGTCAAATAGGACATTAGCATTTGCATCTAGGTATCATTGTATCGGCTTGCGTATCTGCGTCCGAATGGTTAGACACGAAGCACCTTCATTTACCTTATGGAATTTATGATTTTTAGCGGTTGTTTGATGTAGTTTTGATGGTTTCAACGCGAGATTTTAGGTTATATTCGATGTTGTCAAAACATTTTGGTGGAAATATTATGTGTATGCGGGGGTCTGTGATGCTTAGATCTTGAATTGGTATACCGGGAATAGGAGATAAGTGGATTTGTAGGTTATCAGAGTTCGGTTTGTCATGTTTAGTGTATTAGTGCCGGCGCTTCGGTGTCGCTGGTGTAGCCGCGGAGCCGGGCGCGGGCGCCTCGTGCCGCGCTCCGCGGACCTCGCGTCGAATGTTAATTAGCTCTTCCTTTTATGTTAACTTCCTATCATATAGTGGTACTCACTCAAAATGTTATTTTAAATCCTTTGTTTTTGGCTAGTAACATTTTTATTGTTATTCTATTTTGAATATACTTATAGGAATATTCATGTGTTAATCATTTAATCAATGCTTCTATTAAAAATTAACATTTCACTTGAAACTTAAGTGTACCCACCACTTTTTGATAACATTGAAAAAGTACTGTGTGAATTGAACTTATGTTTAAGTTGGGTACTTTCTTTTCACATGCATCTGTATTTATCATTTTTATGTTGACCTCAAAATGCCTGCATACATAATACACTTATATCTGACAAAGAATTACTTGACCTACATTCACTACCTTGGATTTTTTCTTTGGCACTGAACTTTATTAAACTGTCAAATACCAAGCGGTCACCGGTGACCGCAACCTATTGTTCTATAATTGTGTCTACAAAACCGGTACTCGACGAGTTAATATCATAGGGCCTTAACAAAATCAACATTGTGAAGAAGCTAAAGAAACAATAATTGTTCTAGAAAAGTGTGATAATGTTTTATCGATAGACATAAACAATATCAATACAAACAATTCTCTTTTGTATCAAGGTTACTTAAAACAAATCTATTTATAGTCTCATATTGATCTGCTGACTTGCTGTTGTTATACTCGAATAGGTAAACAATAAAATGATTGATACTGATACCCTAAACTTTCCTCTAAAAGTATTTTCTACTAAAGGTCACATCTAAGACCTATGTCCTATAGAAAAATGTTAAAAGTATTTATGTAATGGCTTTTAACTCTTACCTTTGCAATCAAACCAATAACATTAGTGACAAAAAGTAAACGAAACAATAGATCGAACCATTAGGAAATAAAAGATACAATGTTATATTTATGTTCTGCTAATACATAACTAGAATATTATAGGTTTACTCTCATTTGTAGATGTAACAAATAAAGAGCATTCAACAAGTTTTCATAGTTATAAACCGTCAAATAACATTAAAGAAATACATAATATAGTTATCAATAAAAAATGTAACTACCTACTAATTTCATACAAAAGCAACAACACATGTCTACAACATAATATTCTTATTACACAAACAATTTTAATTTCATAGCTATGACAGAAAATGTAAAACTCCTCATTTTGTTTAATGTAACCTTCAGTCATGTGAAAGTATGAGTTCATTGACCTATTACTTAAGCATAGGCTGTACCTTGCTTGACTTTTAATATCTAGTGCTAGTTTGTACTTAAAATATTTAAGTACTAATAAAGAATTAAATGTATACTTTTTCATATTGACTCATTTATAGATGCACTTTGGCTTTGAAAATTGACTGTTCTTACTACTATTTTCCTCTTTATATCTCGCGCGAATAATAATAGCTAGTCACAATCACATGACGTAATTTCACACGTACCAATGTTCTGTCAACTACCCATTTAGTAGCAAAATTTACTAATTAGTTTCTCATTAAATGTATTAGTGCTGAATTTAGATGCTTTAACATTAAACTTAACATTTGAAGTAACTATTTACTTACATCGTAAGATATCGATTTTAACTCGATCGACTGTTAACATTAAAAAACCGTCAGTATTTTCGTTTGTGTACCAGAAAATCTTCAAGAAATATAGATTAAATACAATCGAAATCGTATTCTCGCGGCCTCTAATATTTGACGTCATGAAATTAAATCATTTCGTAGGTATAAGTAGTGTAGTGTAATCGGATTAATAACAATCGATCTTAACATTCGATTCTCTAAGTAGGTGTAATTAACAAACCCTTCGTACTAACTGTGTTAGATATAACCCACAACTGTCGCCCGGTCCCTGCAGCCCTCTACAATAAAACCCCTATCAATAAAAACTGATATTGAGTGAACGACAGGGTCACAGCCACTCGATACTTATTTCGTAAACTCCAGTTTAATCGACGGTTTGTTCAGCCTACGTTACGCAACCATCTTTACGGTTATTGTGGCTGGCAGCGTCCAGATTTTCTAATTGTGTTTGCTTCCTATAAAATGTTACCGGTTTTGCATAGAAACAGTTACTGTTCAAGGGAATACTGTCACTATAAATTCGCCTTTAGCTTATCACGTTGCCTTATCTGAGGAACACAAAGTGCGACATTTTATTATCTAATGTGAATTCCAACAAAATCGGTCCTCTGATTTAACTCATTGCTAACAGATCGATGGCCTGTGGCGCTTCTAACCTTCCGCGATTCTTATATTGTCTGCTAAACATTTTAGGAACCAATTAGTTTTTGTACGTAACTACCAGTTTATAAAATAGTTACTGTGTATTCTTTAAGTTTAGCGTATGTGTATTTAACATTACATTTTACTGTAAATATATTGCGTAACAGGAACCAATAGTCGTCAACAACGATCTTAATTGTGAACATTGTGGCCCTTCCAGAAGGAACGTCCTAACAACAATATGGTCATAACGATTCAATGATTATGTCGAGCGAAATCATAAACGTGCATTTCCTCTCAATTGCGTACACTATTAGCTGGTATAATTGTATTAAATTCATTGCCAATTGCTAGACTATGGCCTTCTTACGTTACCTGATGCTTCACTTTGAAATATAATTAAGTAGAGAGTCTCAGGAATATCTTTGTAATTTCTTAACATCAACAATATAAATATATTACTAAGCTATGGAATGGAAATCACATCGCTATTATTAGGTTTCATGTAGTTATTATCAATTTGGTCGGTGGAATATATTGTTATTATTTCACAAAGTCCAATAATTTTCACCGTTAACTATTGTTTATGTTAACAAGAGAAAACTGATAGGACATACAGTGACATCACAAACCGTACTTCGAATCTCTTCACCTACTTGTCATCGCTCCTAGAAGGCAAACCCATGACTTTTTTCCCTAGTTATTTATTTGAAACACGCCAGAATCAGTGTGTATGAACTCGTAAACTTGAAACGGAAGTTTGGTTAGTAAAATAGTCATGACTTATGTTGTGGTTTTTACAATGATTTAGTTATCCATCTGGTTACCCAATGTGGAGTCAAATGCCTCGCTTATAGGTTCTTTGTTACCTCACATCTTGTAAAAAAATACGAAGTTGAATGGTTATGTCAATAAGGATTTTTGTTAAATTACGTATTAGAGTTTGTTGTCCGATTACATAGTTGGTTAGTTGTCGAATAAATTCATGCAGTTCGATTTAACCACGTGTTGGGGTCTGTGAAAACGTTCATTAAGTGAACCGACGCTTTGTTGCGTACACAAACGACCACGGAATCACCGACAGACAAACACAACGCGGTTCGCCATTGCCAAACGAGCGTAGTAAAGTATGCAGATCTACATGACAAGATAGCGTACATGCAATGCATTGCCAAATTAATTTTACTTATTGGACACATAGTTCGATTCGTTGGAACACTTGGATCATGCTTTCTAAACTTTCATAATACGTTTATGTAAGCAAGTTTTAAATTGAACTCAATGATCCAGTCTAAAACTTAGTGGTGGTCAATCCACCTTGTATACTGCAGGTTTCCCAGGATTGTATAGGAACCACCAATTTTATGAATTAATGTTCAAAAAGTAATATCCCTCCATGAATGAAGAATAAACTTAGAAGAAAATTAGCTGTTAAATAATACAAACTCATAATAGTACCACGCTATTCTCATACCAATTGTGAAGAAATTCGAAATCTGTATGAATCTGTGACCTTTTATCGGGAGCAAAAATCTGCGTCAATGTTTCTTACGCTCTACAACTCTACACAAATGATGTCACACATTTTCATCTATATCGTATACCTACTTTGCAAACACCATTGTTCACTTTTATGTTAACTTTTAAATATTTCTGTGGCTCCTTGAAAATATCTCCCGTTAGCAAGGTTTCGAGGGGCACCATCTCAGAATAAATATCCCCGATAAAAAACCGGAACAATACAACTAATTCAGATTTATAAACCTCATAGTAATTAGGTAATAAGCATAATAGCATAAAATTAAATGTATTACTTATTAAATGCCATCAATTCATTCGATTATAATTTTTAGTGTACCGAAACTCAATGCCACATAACCGACCGCCATTTTGAAAAAAAAACTCGATTTGTCTGCCAGCTATGCAACGTGTGTCATTCAACAGTGATTACAAACAAAAAATGTTCGGGGATGAAATATAATAACTTTTTATTTATGAATACATAAATATGGTCTAATATACTGATTGTAAAAGCCATTGCATCACCCATTCCGAAACAACTGTTAGTATGAAGATGTTCACCTTTGGATACGATGCACCTCGTGAGTATTGATCCCGCGATATCTCGAAAGAGTTAGTCTCTTACCCACTAGGTAGGCGGCAAATATATTCCTTCTATTGAAACCTTTTCTTTTCTGCTTCTGTTGCTGTCTGGACTTTGGAAGTAGGTAGTTCGGGCAATTAAACTAAGGGTATTGTCATAAAAATAACAGTAAGACTGTCTATCCCACGTATTTTGTACCATCAGTCATGAGAAGTCTACTAATACTAAACACAAAGGCGGGATTTTGTTTATCCTCTCCTGAAAAGTAAGATGTTAAAATACATAGTAAATACTTAGTATTAATAAGAAAAATGTTATTATTATAGATAATAATAATATTTTCATTTGCAACCCAATTACGTCTACTACCGCAGTATCGGTGAAAATTCATTGCCTATCTTAATCAAAATCCCTGGATCGATTTAGATTTTTGACAGATGTTCCAAACAGCTCAATGTCATTGTGACCGGTTATCACATACTTGGCCAAATAAGCCTTTCCTACAACACGCTGCTGAACTCGAATCTCTTCGACACTACACATTCAACCAATTCTAATTACTTACTGTTATATTTTACACGTTGACCATAATATTCATTTTGGAGAGAAAAATGTATTCTTTAAATACTTTCAACTCTAGAATAAAATTACAATGCTCACGCACAGACAATCACGTAATATCTTCTGATAACGATGATATATTTAATGAATGTACTGTAACATTTACTATGGACAACAATCAATAAAAAAATTACGTTGATATTATCATCATTGAATTTTGATATTCGTATTGTTTACACACCTGCTAGGTTTAAAATATCTGTATTATCCGTTTATTGAATCAAATTATTTTTATTATAACTAGTTCTATTTCTCAAACTGAATGAGAATCCTTATAGCGTACTCACATAATGACATTGTAATGCCCACAGCATTCCTATAATATTAGGACGTTCGCACTCGGATCACAGAAATGGGACTAAAAATACTTATGAGATTAAAGTGGCCTAATGAGTCCCAAAACCAAAGGATATAGCACAAAAAGCAATGTTTATGTCAATGAATATGAAAAGGTTATTGTTTATTAATAAAACAACATAAATGATAAGACAAACAATATGAATAAAGTGACCTCTAATCGAAGGTAGCGACTGTGTGAAAATCATCGAAAACTCACTTTTGAAATAATTTCTTGATCAGTTATTTGTAAAGTATGAAAACTATGCTATCAAGTCAGTGTACATACATACTCGTAATAGCAATTGACTACGATGAGCGTCGTATAGGCTGAATCACTCATTATACATATTTATACATTTTTATAATACTGGAGAATTGTACATGTGATTCGCGACAGGTGACCCTGAGGCCAGTTATGGTAATTAACAACAAAAGAAACAAGTAAAACGTCGCCTCGTGAAATCGTACAGTGAGAATTCAATCATTCTCTGCCCTCTTGTGATGACGTGTCCAGGCTAAATTTACTATACACTTACTTATTGACACGTTCCAAAAATACACTTCTTGGCAAAACTGAACGGGCGTTAACATCGCTATCAGCCGCATAATGCCCCAACTTACGCATATACATAACTATAGCTAATATGAAGGCACACCCGTAATACTCGTATGTATTGGCCGGCTATATATAATATCTGTGTAGATAACCACTCTTCTATGTATATGTATATTTACTACACACCTATTGGAGTATAAGCTCTGGTGTGATTCCTTATACACGCCAGTTCGAATCTATAGTCGTACGTTTTACGAGGCGTTCTTTGCGTAGGGATCAGTTTTGTATAAATCACGTTTTACTGTATATTGAATGCTTTAAAATCGATTGTCTTAAAATGAATTTCCTGGTGTATATTTTATTGAGATGCCCAGCTGTATAAAATTACGTTGGGCTCTTTCAATGACCGCTGTAGCGTAAACCCAACTAGACCATATTGTCAAAGTACTATCAATACATTTAAGTGTCACAATGCTCTTAACAGGAAGTACCGCATCACAATAGTGATGGTACCTTATACATGAAAAAATAAAGCGCTCTTTCGTATCTATTACACGTGAATTCACGTCTCATCGTAAGTTAATTTTAGTTCACCTCGCGATCGTACCAGAATGGAAAGTTTCATAGGAAATATGAGATCAACTAGAATTCTATTTTCTGGTGATTATTAACAATACTTTGTTACATTTTACTTCCGACTTAACGAATTGATGTTCCGAAGAAAAGCCAAACAAAAATGATTAGTTGATCTAGCCTAGGTGATAGTTCTCTTTATCAAAGCTTTTCCAATTCTTATTGTATATAACTTTTATTTACATAACTCACATCATTTTAATGATGAGAATGATTCAATTTTCAAATTACATCTAAAGAGCTTCTTTCTCTTGCAGCAAATTTTAATTAATCTAATATTCCAAGAAAAATCTCCGATCGATACAACATTCACACAGTTCTGATGATTTAACATGTGACGATAGATCCACGTCATACTGACATTCCACCTTAATACAGCAATAGTTAGTATTGTCAGGAGGTTAATCGTCCAAAACCAACGCGCATACAGCTCAGAATGAAAGGTTTCAAGCGTGTCATTATGTGCGCGTGTTATTTAGTTGTGTTGTACGAAGTAACGGTAAAAAGGCGCCATTTACATTAGTTGTCCATGTGGCACAACTAACATAAGTATTGCAGTACGGATAAACAGAAACTATTCGTTCCGCACCAGCTACTCTGCACCTAGAGTTACCAATTGTGTTCTACAAAAAAAAAGTTATAAAAATATACCAAAGTATCACAAATGCAGTAATGTTCCAATGAGTGCTAATAGTTTTGAGAAGAAATCGATATTAATTGGCATGTAGTAAAACGTAGAACCGATCGATGATACAGACAATACACCACATGATACACCAAGTTAGAATTGTATCTCTTGCTCCTGCACTACATTAAAAGAAAACTAAATCTGTCGACAGTCTTGTAAATAAACTATACGAATAGGAATTACATTGTTTACAATAAACTCTTGCAGGTAATGGGTTAAGTCCAATCTAACCAATTTCTATTATGTTTGTCTGCAGACTGCGTCTATTTCGAGACGTCGTCGACGTCTCCGTACCAGATCCGACGGATAGAAGAGCTGAACAAGACGCCGTCTGGGAACGTGGAAGCAAAAGTCATGTGCTTCTACAGGCGGCGAGACCTTCCAAATCCTCTTATACAGTTAGCTGATAAGCATCAAAGTAAGTATCCTGCTAAGTCATACAGACAGTGCCAGTGCACTCCGGTGGTTGCGTAAAATAATCACGTCACATACTACAGAATTCAAAATTACAAATTATAAAAGAAATTATGCCATCGTAGTTCATTATTCTGAGAAGCGTCTCATATGCCTTACTGTGATACCATTGAGATGGTATCGCGTACCTCTCTAATTCTAACATGATATCGGTCTAGGATTCTAGATAATCTATCAGCAAATAATTACGTATCTATCGGATTGCTCATAATTTACCCATATGTATAACATTGTACACAAGGTTACTCCTTATAACTACTTTATCCTTGAAGTCCAACTTTATAATAAGACATTGTTTTGATATTGATTTTCGGAACAGACCAGTCACGCACATCGACAGACGAATACAGCAGTATTAGGTTGTAGTTGTAGGTACTTCGGTACTTGTACGTAATAATATTCTGCAGTGGCGTCTGCGTCACGTGGACCCATGCGGATTAACGCGTGTTTGATTCTTTTCTATTAATAGATTTATAAAGTATCCTATATTATCGGAGTTGTGTAAAGGATTACTCAGCGGGTGCCCGGCACTCGCAGTTCAAAATCTCAACAATTTCATTGCGTGCTGCCGTATCTAACATACACGCAAGATGTCGAATTACTAAAAAATTGATATCGGCATGTCAAATTGCTGTTAACGTAATTGCAGTAAACGATTTTAATTTCCGATGATTCGAGATAAAAAGTTTTTTTTAGTACTTACTAATAAATTATCATCTTTTGAATAATTGCGGGATTTAACTCATCCATAACTCAAACACTGTCGTACCCCCATCCCATACCCACAGCGTCGTTAAAAGCAACCATGAACAATAATATCGGTAGTGTTCTTAAACGTTAACCAATAATTAAAATCATTAAATAAACTTGTTTTCAATTCTTACAAAGGGGTCTTGAAAAAAGTCGATGTCGAGTTTTAGTCAAAACCAGTCTACAATTTAACCGTTCACAGCCGTTACCGAAATGTTGATAGAGATAATGATCGAGCTCGTAAACTCACTCAAATCGATCCACCGTCTCACCATACCAATATCATGAACAACAAGGGCTCACGCGATCGGCCGGTTGCCTCGATACGCGAAGTAACTCGCGCTCGAAGTCCTTGGACAACATCTTTAATTTATGAACATAAATATTGATTAATTAACAATCAATTGAAGTCCTAAAAATCATAGGTGTATTATTCGTCTTGTTCGTCACGCTTTGACCTCATTAGAAGGCAAAATGCGCAGTAGTCGAATATGGACAATATGTGTCCTTCAACGAGACTCCCCTTCGACCTCTCCCCACATATACAGTAAGCGAGTTTACCGTGTTGTGATCATAGAATCCATTGAAAAGATTCCGTTCCCTAATCTTTTAAATGGTCCACTCTACGAGATCAGTTTGGAGGTATTGATTTTATTTGAATTCCAATTACATCATGATTTGGTGGGCTCGTTTTCATAATATAACAATTTTGACATATTATCTCGAATTGTAATACAAAGAATGGCAAGACATTATCTGCGTAATATATTCTGTTAGTTACCCGGTGTGTATCGAAGTTTCCGATACTCTCTGGTTATTTCTGGCGACGTATCGATTCTAATTAGCACACTTTAAACATTCATCTGATCGACTTCGTCTCGGCTTTTGTTAGACGTCCCTGCACCCAGGGCCGTCTTAGACTACACCGGGGCCTTGGGCACACAATAAATCGGGGTCCCTTTTGGAATGTTTCTTTTTTTTACGATGCCCTTAACTTGGATTTTCTCCTGTATCGTGGGTGCATTTACAAACATACAAGTTTACATACACATGACACCCAGACCCGAAACAACATTTGTACATCACACAAAGATTAGCTCCGTGTGTGAATCGAATCGGCTACACGTTGCGGGACAGCTGGTTGCCTCGCAACGTGTAGCGGGTGTGTGTCCATCGTAGAAATTGTCGATCCTTCGGAGCGCCCTGAGGAATGGGGTCCTGGGCACGGGTCCCGAGTGTCCTTATAGTAAAGACGGCACTGCCTGCACCCCTTAGAAATGCATGACTACAAGTTTGTAGGCGCTATCCCCACTATATAGATTTTTTGTGTCTAATATAAATCGTATTCTGTAGATACTTTATTCCCAAGTAATTTAATATAACTCACCAAAACTGCCATCCCATGACAACTTTGCCTAAGGACTTCCAATCTAGAAATATACTTATACTGTTTCTTCGTTATTTCATCTGGAATATGAATTAGGCAATATTATGATTTTGAAATTCTCTAAAGTGTTACTTAGGTTAAATTCTGTCTGGTTAAATTAGAACTAAACAAAACTAACATAAACGGGGAAGCTACTCCTCTCAGTGTAAGTACTGGTTAACCAATGTAGAACAACACGTGGAAGAAAGAACGCGTTGTGTCATTGTAGGGCGTGCTCTATATTTCTCCCTACCTGTACGGACAAAGGCGTTAGTTTTTATACGTGCCCATTATATTAGAATAAAAGAAAACTTGGTCAAACTAACCATGCAAATTGATCCAGTTGTGTTAACTCGCGAATGTAGAATCAGGGGTGACTCGAAAAATTATGTAATGGTGACCGTATCTTTTGGGAGAGCTTAGCTCTAAAGACGCGTTCTCGGTTTTGTAGTAATGACCCTACAGCACGTATGGTATGTTGTCACCGCGACACTCCAAAATATTTGGATACCCTGAATGTTGTTAAGTATTCGGACCTAAATGTAGGTAACGATCCCACATTCTAATACAGTAACGCTTAGGTACTAATGATTCCTTTGACTTCATTAACGTTATTCGGGATTAAGATATGTCCTTTCTTATCTCTTTTCTATTTATATTCATGCGACTGTTTTATATGTATAGTTTTAGCTGCCAGTCTTATAATATTTATGAAAAAAATATTATTATCGATTGACACGACTCCGTACCAAACATCTGCTGCCAATTCATTAAAATCATCCTTGATTAGTTAAAAGTTCTTTCTAATGGAAAAGTAAATAATCATTAACTTAAAGATTATCAGATGTCCTGAGTCATGACTAAACAGACTTTGTCGACATAAATCGATCAAATCAAATGAAATGAAACATTTAAGTAAATGTCTTGTAAATATAATACATCATTGTAAATTATTCTATTGGTGTTTTCAATTCACTATTCTTCATTATTACGTTGAATGAATGAATAATTGTTTAGCCGGTTAGTTATAATTACTGGTTAGCTATGCACTCGAGTTTTAGACGACTTTCGGTGTGTTTGGTGCACAAGAATCCCTACGTAATGGTTATACTGTGTCAATAGTATGAAGGGACTATGAATAAGGATGTTTTCTGGTCGTACTTAATGTTAACATCATGAACACCATGTGCTAGTTCACTACTGGACTGTGAGCCTTCTCTACATAAGAGGGTTAGTAACCGGGCTTGGCAGCCGGGTAGGGAATCGCGGTTCGGAACTACAAAGGTTCAAGTCTTAGAGCTGCTAGGTCTCTGTCAAATATCTGGTCCCTTCGTTTTTATAATAACTATCGTGAGACATACTAAATTAACTAAAATTCGCGGGTTACTCACGTGAATATATTGAGAAAAGCCCTACTAGTTTCGAACCACAGAGGGGTTCTTCCTCGTTAGCAGCGTGCGCGGTCACGGCGATGTCGCGCAGCCTACTCAGTAGGCTACAGTAGGTAGGTAGATAGGTAGCTTTTCTCATTATATTCACGTAAGAAACCCGCGATTTTTAGTTAATCTAGTCCCTTCGTCTGATATTAGGACGACCGTAGGAAGAGTATGGGTGATGATAATGTATTCTAATCTGATATATAATTGCATGAATGCATGTAAACTTCTTTATTGACTGAATTTTTGTGATGATGATTTTGTAAAAAATTACAAAGTCTTTCACTTAATTTCCTCCGCACATTGGTTTAATTTTGCAATCTACCATAATGTGGCAATCAAACTCTTATTATCATGCTCTAATTAACACGAATAGCTTCCTACCATCAATGAGATGTGTTTATATTGATGGAAATAATGTATGTAAAATAATCATGTTACAGCATAAAACCTATGTTTTTTTGTTTCGTTCATATTGTAACACTTGTGAATCAGTCGTGATGATGCTGTGGTTACCGTATCGCCTTCGTGCCGCATTGTGAGCACACGCCTTGATTTACCGTTTTTATCGTGCTGCATGTTTTCTCACTTCTTATATCTTCGGATTTCCTATAGGTACTCATTTTGCTTATATTAGATACTGGGCATCGCTGTGCGAATTTCATTAGTAACGAAACCTCGTTGATCTTTTTGATTTGAGTGGTCACAAGCTCAAATGTTGAGAACGACCGTGGGTTCGATTCCCGGTTTTTCGATTTTCAAATTCTTTGTAGGGGTTGAAAACATATATTAAAGAGGATGAAACAAAACTCAAATTCAAAATTATATTAATAATCAAAAAAACATGTCATACATAACTTATATTAAACTAACTATTCCTTTATGTGCCAGTATTGCGAAATCGTATGCATTTAATACTGTATTTGGTTCTCGAACAATCGAACGGATAAACACCAGTGCTTACATATCCGCCATTCGCAATTTCGCACATAGCAACACCGATCGGCAGGGTGGCTATGTAAAGACCGAGTTTTGGGACAAAGATCGTGTGTTAATTCGGACCGCGTAGACCGGGGGCGCGGGCGGCCGGGGTTAGTAAACATAATCATGGCCTCCTCCCGCTGTACAATTCAGTAGCTAAATGGGAATGAAGAGTTGGCTCACCCGCACCCCGCCCCACCCCCGCACACTCTGTCTGCCGCCTCAACACCCACACGTCTTGTGACGCAGATGTTGAAATTGCTGAAAAGATGCTTATTTTTTACACATCGTAATGGAAATCTATAATTCTATACACAATTTTAAATATCTCTTTACCTACAAATCCCACGC